GGGGGGGCTCTCTGTGGGTCTGGGGTCTCTCTCTGGGGTCTCTAAGTGGGTCTGGGGTCTCTCTGTGGGGTTTTGTGGGTCTGGGGTCTCTGGGTTTTTTGGGTCTGGGGTCTCTGTGGGGTCTCTGTGGGGTTTTTTGGGTCTGGGGTCTCTCTGTGGGTCTGGGGTCTCTGTGGGGTCTCTGTGGGTCTGGGGTCTCTGGGGATTTTGTGGGTCTGGGGTCTCTCAGTGGGTCTGGGGTCTCTCTGTGGGGTTTTTCTGGGTCTGGGGTCTCTGTGGGGTCTCTGTGGGGTTTTTTGGGTCTGGGGTCTCTGGGATTTTTGGGTCTGGGGTCTCTCTGTGGGTCTGGGGTCTCTGTGGGGTCTCTGTGGGTCTGGGGTCTCTCTGTGGTGTTTTTTGGGTCTGGGGTCCCTCTGTGGGTCTGGGGTCTCTCTCTGGGGTCTCTCAGTGGGTCTGGGGTCACTCTGTGGTGTTTTTTGGGTCTGGGGTCTCTGGTGTTTTTTGGGTCTGGGGTCTCGCCCCTCCCCCCCGGCACTCCCGGAGCCATTTTGGGTAAAACCAGCACAGCTTTATTGGGGGAGGGGCGGGGGGAGACCCCTCCCCAAAATAACGATGGGGGGGGAGGGGCGGGGGGAGAGACCCCTCCCCAAAATGGGGGCAGTGTCCGAGGGGTCAGAGGTCAAGGGTCAGAGTCCCAGGGGTCCGAGGGGTCAGGGGTCAGAGGTCACGGGGGGCAGTAGCCGGGGGGCAGCACCCATGGGTGCCCCAGCACCCCGCACAGGGGCAGGGTCAGTGTTTGGGGGGTCAGTGGTCAGTGGTCAGTGGTCAGTGTCAGGGGTCAGGGGTCAGAGGTCAGTGGTCAGTGTCAGGGGTCAGTGTCAGAGGTCAGGGTCAGAGGTCAGAGGTCAGGGGTCGGGGGGCAGTACCCCGGGGGGCAGCACCCGGCGGGAGTGGGCGCGCACCCATGGGTGCCCCAGCACCCCGCGCAGGGGCAGGGTCAGGGGTCGGGGGGTCAGTGGTCAGGGGTCAGAGGTCAGGGGTCAGGGGTCAGTGTCAGGGGTCAGGGGTCAGGGGTCGGGGGGCAGTACCCCGGGGGCAGCACCCGGCGGGAGTGGGCGCGCACCCATGGGTGCCCCAGCACCCCGCGCAGGGGCAGGCGCTGCCCCGGGGGGCGCCGCAGCAGCCGCTGGATCAGATCCCGAGCGCCCGCGGGCACCGAGGGCGGGAACTGCACGTCCACCTGCGGGACAGGTGAGATGGGCACAGGTGGGCACAGCTGGGCACAGGTGAGATTGGCACAGGTGAGATTGGCACAGGTGAGA